CTCCGACTAGTACTTTATCGAACCTGAGTACATATTTCCGGACCCATTGGACCTCACTGACCTTGACCTTACCATTACTTCATACATATCTATGTATTGTTAGATAAAGGGTAACTATAACGTAGTGTCCAGTGTATAGAACCCCGGTGTAAATGTGTACATATTATATTCAGGAATGGATGTGTTGATATCGTTCCTCAAGAACTGGATAACTCACTACTTCCGACGTAATTCATCCACACTCATTCAACCAATCCCATCTTGGGTGCGCCGTACAAGTCATTGTAGGAAATCCTAACAGAACAGAAAATATGACGAGAAGGTTATAGTGAAAGTCATTGTAGGAAATCCTAACAGAACAGAACAAATGATGATAAGATTATAGTGAAAACCGGTCAAACTGACGACGTTACTTATATGCGGTACTGCAGTTAGTAACAATGCACTATCCCCTGAAGGGCAATTAGGCTACGATTTTTAAATTCTGGTCATAGATGTTGCAAGAACCCCTCGTCCATGTATAGCGCAATCCTGCTGCGCGGCATTTTCAGAAGCCATAGCTTCCTTCATCTGCCGCTTGATAATGTTGTTTTCTCTGCTTGTTCGGATTTACCCCAGTCAATTATATGATTGGTAAGAGCCGATATATATTGATCGGAGACTCGGATAAGTTTCCGCTCCGATCAGGTGAATTTCATACCTTCCTGAGTTTCCGTATTCTGTGATTAGGACCCGGATAAGTTTCCGCTCCGATCAGGTGAATTTCATACCTTACTGGGTTTCCATATTCAGTGATTAGGACCCGGATAAGTTTCCGCTCCGATCAGGTGAATTTCATACCTCCCTGGGTTTCCATATTCAGTGATTAGGACCCGGATAAGTTTCCGCTCCGATCAGGTGAATTTCATACCTTCCTGAGTTTCCGTATACAGTGACTAGGACCCGGAATCTTTCTGCTAATTTCCCGCCTCTGGCAACATTCTCTTTCGGTCCTCCTAATGGATGACATCTCGTCCATTCTTTTTAATCTTTTCGTTGGTGGTTTGCCTCTTTGATTTTTTCACCCTTTGAGTTGTTTAATCATGTTGCGATCGTATGTTTTTACACCTATAGAGCAAAGTTCTCCCTTCTCCTGGTGTAACGGGTGGTAAGTCTGAAAATTGAGGTACATGTCTGTTTGTATCTCTCCTTATGTATAAATACATTGACTGTACCGTCATCTTTCTGTATAAGAAGGTTATAAACGTCCCCATCGCTGTCGAATTTGATGCTGTTGATGATGTCCACTGGATTGCTGTCTCCATTATGCTGTCACCATAGGCTAGACTTATACATCCTCCAGACGTTGAATGAAGGAGGTGGCCACAATTGAAGAAACAGGACTGCTCATTACTACGCCAAAGCATTGCTGATGGATAGTATCTCAGAAAATGAAATATATCCTTGTAACTACAGAAAATCCATGATACCTTGGATATGAAAATTTGCGTCCGTTTGCCGAGATCTGTCTAGCTCCAGGCGACTGCGAAAGATACCAAGTATTTTATTAGTGGGAGTCGGGAAAAGAGGCAATACATCAAGGGAAATGAATTCCCAATTTTTTAAATTAGGATAATGGAACATTTTTCTCTCGATTTTTAGACGTTACGTTCTGATTTCCTTACTTTATAACTATAATAGATGAATTCGGTAGAGTTCACAGAACAACAGGACCGAAGTGGGTTGCCCTGTTTGTTGATCGTGTGTATGCAATACATCCTAGAGCTGATCACAGATTCTGTTATTTTATTTTCCATTCTTCTTCAGTCTTTTTTTTTAACTTTTGATTTATAAATTTTTCATGTGTTTTGTTGTCCTGCAGCATCACCATGACTTTGCTATCATAACCTTCAGTGTTCATGACGACTGTATGATTACATTTATTTGCTAGTGAAATACTTATGGATTTGTCCTTGCTTGATTTTTAAAAATAAATATGCTCTTCTTTTGTTATATTGTTGATTTGTAATTTTCAGATTCAAAACCTGTGATCTCCGTTGATCAGCAATCAGCCTCAGACCTGTCTTGCACTTTTCCCCCATCTTTGAAGTAAATGGAACCCACAATACCCCACGTGCTTTAGCCACATTAAAGAAGGGAGATAGTGGTCCTGTCCCTTGTTTGTAATTTTTGTATCCGTAGAGCGTTGGGCTAACACTAAAGTGAAGATTTCAAGAAGCTGAGAAACGGATAAAGTTGTGCTGTAGTCGTTTTTCCATGGACGAGACACTTTACCCTTTTGCTTTGAATGACATGTGACGGACCTCATGTATGTTGTTCAGTGAGTTCCTCAAAATAACTCTAATTGTCCATAGAGCGTTAAACAAGGAAAACAGGTCAGGATAACGAGTTTGGGAACTCAAATTTATATAGTTAAAAATGAGTCATTAAGAGAAATACTTTCCCCTTCTATTGGAAGTCATTTTAATAACATAACGAGGATTTCTTTTGGACAGACTGATACGAGATCAGTGAAGCGAAATATATTAAAGCCCTGCTATCGTTATTCTGCGATCAACAAGTGCCCTTTCAATAGATTCTGTATACACGCGCTAAGCGCTTTACCTAGCCGGATTTATAAACATGAGTAAATCAACAGTTTATATATAGTGATTAAAGCGATCAATTCACCAATACTCGCGTGTCAGGAATACAATACACACTTGGCATAAATCTACAATCTATACATTTATTAGTTATATGTATTAATGAGTTGGCGCGGTCATTGAAAGGGCTTGGCACGAATTCCTTGTTATACGGTCAGTAACATATTTTAAGCAATAAAGTATAGTTATATTCTGACGGTAGGGTTAGGAATTTGTAAATCTGTGGTTGTACTCACAGGGACTCAATTTCAGGAATGCGTAAAAATAATATTGAATGTTCCTATGTATATAAAAAGAGAAAAGCCGAGTTTAAAATGTTTTCCGGCTCTTGGTTCCGTCTTTTAGAAAGCCTCGCTTATTAATAGAGTAAAACTAATTAACGGACGGATTAGGATGTTGTCCTTAAAAAAACTTAGATATGCAATAATTGGTCACATCGTGTTCACTCTTTTAGGCTGTATCTATTTCAAAACCAGATTCAAGTTCTCGACGTTCCCGAGACTGTTCCCACGTGACTGGACTCACGGAAGGCATCGCTGTCTTATACCTTTTCAGCACAAGAAATCCCTGTGAAATTGTCTTCTGTATTCCGTTTCGTTCTGGTCGATTTGATCACACACGTGCATATGTGCAGCCTATTTCCCCCACCTCTTTCATTATTTTGGATTTGGCATCACGTGTCTTACACGTCAAACATTAAAAAGACAATTACGCATATTCCCATTTTAAACCAATAAATGAGAATATTACTGATATCCATTATTTTACACTTAATATACAGTTTTGTACAAACAGTATCCATAACTTCAATAACCTCCAGTAACAAACCATGAGAAGAACTCGATGTCGTAGATTTTGTATGTATATATCATTTGGCTGTTGAAATAACACTCGGTAGAAGACAACTGGTGTTGATTTTTAATGTTACTTTATTTGAATAAAAATAACATTCAAATTATGGATATTTATATTTTTTATTTGTAGCGTCGGCTGTGATTAATCAATCTGAAAATTGGCAACAGTACTCTTGGTATTCTAAAATGACACTATAACACGTCTTCAGACATGCAATATGTTGCCTCAAGACTTATTAAGAATAAAATTGTAACAAAGAATATAATCCCTTCAAATTTTCACTTGTATGTACATATATATTCAATGGCTAAAAGGTGTGACCTGACGGCAGTGACGTCATGAAAAAGAAAGTTGCACAGGCTGTGTTTTGTTACTACAACTCAAATTACAACAGCAAAGAAAATATATTTATAATTCAACAGGGAACATTAAAAATCGGCCATGATGCCCTAACGTAATGTATTCATACATACACTAGAGAACATAATAAGTTAACCTGTTGTGGCGACATTTACGTGAAATATTTATATATGGTCATTACATCTCACAATTTAACTAAACAATAGACAATGAATTGTGCTTTCTGTGTGAAGATTGACTCACCTGGAGTCAGAGAGATAACTCAGAGTCAACTCAGCAGGTCACTGTGATTAGACGGTATACAGGTTTACATGGTATACTAGTATATGTGTTTGTAAAACTGTGAAAAATCATAACCTTTCACAAGCGACATACATGACCACTTTGAAAATTCCAGAATGTTCATTTCCTAGGTCATTGACAAAGGCATGTATTATTTACGAATTGATAGCAAAGAAAACATGTTTTCCCAACATACTAGTTACTAGAATAACGAAAACTAAAACAAATGCAAGTTACAAGACTGATCCTCGTTTAGTAAAAACGTATTTTTAAGGAAAGAAAAAGTCTTGAATTGAGTTTAGTATCATTATTGATATTGAAAAAGAATTCTCACGTAACTTCTTGCTAATATTTACAGATATAGTTTACTTTTCAAACTACGGCTGACGATGTAATTAGTCAATACTCTCGTTTGCTAGTGCCTGGATGTATAAAGGTCACTCGGTACATATTACGTCATAATTTTTTCGTACTTTAAAATGGTTCTTAGTGTGATCATCACTGATAAGTGAAAAACAGATATAATCCGACATGTATAGGAACGTAATATACTGCAATAGATTAAAACTTGTGTGTGAATTCCTCCAGATGTTTCACTTCTGATCGGGGTGAATTTGACGTCACACTCACATCAAAATGGTGTCGCACTGCCATAAAATGTACATTTAATCCAATTCATGCTGTAATTTCTACAAACGTTTTCATCACTGACGAGGACTGAGGTTAACACAGACTCGATAAAGACGATTATGAACAAAACACTGGCGTCATCCAATAAGGAATCCATACACACACCATCGTACCGTTCACATTGGTAGCTACAATTGTACTGTGAACCAAAACTGCTAGGAACAAATCTCAAACAGTTGTTTTGGACCGCCTTAGCATGTTGATTGGTGGGAGCTGGTTCAGTGACGAATCGTGCATCGTTGTCATTGGTTTTATAATATCTTTTTTCACTGGTAACGCTGGCATGGTCGGTGCCGTTTTGGCCGATCTTGCCGTCTGCGGAACAGCTCGCGCGGATTTGATTATCTCAATGCTGACATTAGGATCGTCAGCAAAGTTAGCCCGAAGACGAAATCTAAATAATGGATTTTTCGATGTAAGTCCTTCTCGTATCTTTTTCAGAATGTTTTTTGTGATAAGTGACTCGTGTTTGACCTTCTGATCACGGATGTAATTGTTTACCCAAGTGGTGTCCGCTAAGGGCCATAACTCTTCCTCTATGACTGGCGTTTCCGGTTCCGGGGTTTTTACTTTGATTTGAGAGTTTTTTCCCACCCCTATTGGTTGCAGTCGTATTCGTGTAATTCCACGACGACTCATCAACTCAGCTGCTTTCTCTTCGTCACTTTTTTGTCTTTCTTTCTCGTCTTCATCCTCTTCGAGTTTTGCGTCCGCCAAGTCTAGTTTAAGACTGTCTTTCTTACTCTCGGCTGTTGACACTTTTCGGTCACTGGCGTCTACATCGTCGATTGCTTGTGTTAAAAGCATATCAAATTCTCGAATAGATTCATTCATAGATTTTTGTTTTTCAAACACTAATGCCCATCGCCTGAGAGTTGTTCTCTTTTTGGAGTCGTAGGTACTGTTCAGGTGAAGTCGCGCCTTTTCAAATCTTTTAATCTGACGTTGGAGACCTTCATTTTCAAGTTTGTTACTCCGATAAATGACCTCACCCGTCTTACTTTTAGACACACTGATTGCTCCCTTCATGACACGGATAGTGTTGAGTGTTTTCTGCTTGTTACTATCTCCGTCAATTTTAAAAAGGGAGCTCACCATTTTGGCGTTCATTTTGAATCACAGGTAGTAATGTCACCTCTACTGTTGAGTTTTCTTTAAAACGTTGCATCTATAAAGAGAAAAAAAAACAGTTAGAAAAATGTATGGAGTTGAACATTTTAATTATATGCTGTCGTGTGTCGAACACAATGAAAATATTAATACGCTGGTATGTTTATATATACAAACATACAATGACAAATCGCACCTTATTCCTTATACAAATATAAAAAGCAATCATACATGAATATCGTACTTAGCCGAGAATGTTGAAAGAGTGGTGATTCGTTTAGATGAATAGAACCACAGTCCAACTTAGTCACACCGTCGTATCAATATTGTATCAACAGTTACTGAAATTATTCTGCCATCACCAAGACTCCCGGAATCGACCTGCCTAGCCCCACGAGGGACATGCAAAGTTTTGGCAAAGTGACGAAGACTCATTTAATTAACATAACTGCTGTGACCTGACCCCCGGGGCCGAAAATACTAATATTATCTGACCCAACTGCAATTCATAATATTGACTTAACCGACATGATCGTTTTGCTGGCTATAGCTTGGCTACATGCACTTAGTTACATGCTATATATTCACAAATATACAACATTTACAGTGTTGAAACAAACAAAAAAAATCCAAAAATAAAAGTAGTACAATTATTTTCCGCCATGTAACAATTTTTAACCTATGTTTTTATTCCGATCTATAATATTTATTTTGTGAAATATGCATGTGGTGATGAGTGCAGAATTTTATATATGACACATTTGAATTGTTCTGGTACATTTTTAAATTTAATACTTTGTTACAGAAGCAACAAATATGTAGCACCATTACACTATACTTGTTACACTAAAGTCAGTGTTGTGTTTTCGTATACACGGGTGTGTCAATTCGATATAAAAGATGGACGTTATATTCTTGGTCAGTGCGAACTGTGAGAGGCATTTGTAAAGACGGAGTTAATGGAAAGACATTTGTTTAAACAGTGTAAACGGTGACACCATTTGTTAAAACAGTGTAAATTGAGAGACATTTTGATAAAACAGTGTAAATTGAGAGGTATTTTGTTAAAACAGTGTAAATGGAGTTGTGTTTTGTTAAGACAGTGTTAACGGAGTTGTGTTTTGCTAAGACGGTGTAAACGGAGAGACAGTTTGCTAAGACAGTGTAAATGGAGGTACGTTTTGTTAAGACAGCGTAAATGGAGTTGTGTTTTGTTAAGACAGTGTAAACGGAGTTGTGTTTTGTTAAGACAGTGTAAATGGAGCTGTGTTTTATTAAGTCGGCGTCTTTTGGTAAATGAAGAGTATGACTAAGGAACACAGTTTGCCGATAGATTTCAAGTTATGATTATTTTTTATTCAAATTTGCTTTCACGTCATTTTTATACAAATATTAAACTTTTCGAGATAATTTAGAATTATCAAACCCTGGTAAATTTGGAATATTCGTACTAGTTTATTAACTGCTATTTGGTTCACTCGAATTCGATAATAGTTGTAATTTCAAGGTTAAAAATGTTAATTGTTTTCTTAGTGACAAATGTAAATATTGCAAAACAAAAAATTGAAAACAAACGTATTTTTGAAATTTCATACAATGGCTTCAAATAAAAAGTTTATAAAATTGATAAACAAACAAGAAATACCTTTTTGATTCTTCTTGGGTCCCGAATTTGACATTGTACCTTTATATTTGTCAGTGATGTGTTGTTTATATATCACTTCCGTTCACACCTTGTTTCAGTAACACTTTCCCCTGACTTTACCGTATAAGTATGGTTCCCCTCTCACACCCAACCCGACATGGATTATCACAGCCCCGACAACGGATCAGTGCCACGTTAATCTCCGAGCGCAGTGTAGAACAGATTACTGAAATAAGATTACTTTTTTTTAAATACACGTAGATTAATTTATGGATTTAAGTATATATTACACTGCTCGTTTTCTATGTAGTGAGCGTGTCAAGGTCCAAAACAGTGAATACAAAATGTAAGCAAAGCGAATTCACATTTATTGAAAATTAGAAATAGTTTTGAAACTCGTCAATAAGGTGTATGTGTACCTAATATCGAGGCACGCGCATATGACAAAGAATTTGTTATAACAGGACATTTAAGTTTGAGTACAATACCTAACCCACTATCTACTGATGTACCCCACCCAAGCCTTTCCCGCCAAAACGATTGTAACAAGCTATGCAGTAATCCCGATGTCGGCATATTTGAGCAAGAATATTCGTCTTTTCGGACGTACGGACGGACTGGCAGCGTGTTATGAACATAAATTTCAAGATTGTCATGAATTCTTAACTCGAAACAGATAAGAATAGTTAATCCGTGGTTATACTGAGTTTACTAGTATGTAGAGTTTAATGAAGTTAGTGTTTCATGGTCATCAGTAATGGTTAAAGGGTCAAAGGTCACATTTGACCATAGGTGATCTCACGAACCTATCATTACACAGCACGTAGCATTTTGATGATCATTACTCAAGAATAAAGCCTAGAAGGTCACACGTGACAATTGTGTAAACTTCTTCTCTTCTGAATCATACATACGAATTTTAGACAATCACCAACAATAAAAAGGAAGATCTTTTAAAATTCTACGTCGTTTGTGTCAACAATTCGTCCCTTGATCTTACTTCTCAGGATAAACATGGTGGACTGTTATCAAATGTCATACATATTCCCGTTAGTCCCCTACTATTTACTTTTAAAACTTATGACTATATTACTGCATTTTTTATCGTCTTTTGCGCGCAAGGCCAGGGATTCAACTACTTGGAAAAATGATTCTCGACAAGAACATTAAAATTCGTTATCACAATTATCAAGAGTTCATATATCTTTCTCTGAGTTCAGATTTATCTTGGTTACGAAATATGCATGTTTAACATTCAGGATCAACAACTGCAGATTCCTCAACCTCTTTAACTTAATAAAATGGATTAACCCAGGAAGGCTACGGACAAAGTCAGAATTATGGCGCGTACAGTCAAAGGTGTCAATTTTAGATACAATAATATGTAAAGTTTCATTTTCTTCGAAAAATCAAGATATAGAATTCAACTTTCCAATAGCCATGAAAGGAAATTATTTTTATTGCCATAATTCTTGCATAGAGTACTTGATTTTAAACACCACCCTTTGATACTGATTATTAGATTGAAAACATTAAGGACTCTGTACTGTAACAGGGTTAGATCAGGTGCAGTTTTACCTGTTTAGAATTTAGCAGATTAACCGTTTCCCTTAATTTCTGTTGCTCAGCAAGTGACGAAATGGCCGAGCTAACGCTCCTTTATTTAGTAGGCCGTGTAAAACCTTCCTCTAATGGGTTTTTATCTCTCCAAGATGCCACAACCGTTATACATATGTATCTTAATGTTTCAATAAATAAACATTTGATACTGTAAATACTTTAACAGGTGTTTATGCCCGTATACAACAAATACAGATAAAAAAAACCGTACAGCACGCTTGTTACTGTGAAAAGGTCAATCCTGATAAAAAAACGACTTCATGAGCAAAAGTCAGAAGTGCTTTAGTGACATCTAACTTTAAAATATGAAAGTGACATTGCTGTGACACCCATTCAAATATCTTTACAATCTCTCGATTATCTACTCAGTTTTTTTAGTTCCAAGAAATTGACAGTGCCCCATTTTGGACATAGTTCGCAAAAGAGGAAAACATTTTTGGGTTTATCGCCTGAACAAGATCAGCCCAACACTAGGAAACTGGCCCCTACTGCTCTCTGTCGGACAATCATATTTAAATGGCTGTCGGTATGATAAAGTTTATCTATTTTACAACAGTTGTGAAACAATTTATTTCAACTTATATTAATCACTCTTGTTGGCCCGGATGTAAGCGCGCGAGGGTCTTAATGTAGGAAGCAATCGGAGTACCCAGGGGAACAGTGGTCAGACAGGCGATCCCCTACCTTTTCACGTCCATTCCGGAAATCTAACCCTGATGGTATTAAGGTGTTAGTCACTTAACAGTACAGCACGACCGGAAGGAGAGTCATACTGCCTTGTTCCGGTTATAAAAGATTGTAGAAAATACACACAAGTGAAGAACACATTTAAATACAAGACATAAATTAGTTACTGTATCATACAGTTGTTTCACCATTCTGGGACTTGTCAGGGAAGCTAGAGGTCTGAATTTGGTGCCATGGACACGTCATCCATGGAAACTGTCTTCATTTGTTTGAACGTTACCTTATCCTCACAAACAAATCTACTTTTTAGAGGTTGGAAAATAAACACGTGTCCATGAGTGAACCATTGGATACTTACAACACAATAATAGTAGACACAATACAAAACTATAAACATTTAAACAATATATATTATTCAACATGAATATCAATCTTGTGTCCTGGTATAGTTTTCTGTCATCGATTCACCATTTTCTCTCTATATGTTTATATTAAAATTATTCAATAGTACTGAAAAATAGTAACAAAAGTCGCTAAAACTATTACAAATCATCTTTAAAAAAAATCATTGAGGTGTGTTGTATAATATAGACTTTCAGCCCCAGCCGAACCACATACCACCATCATTCTAATACCGCTCTATCGAGCGGTTATATACATAGCACTGTTACGTCATCCCTATCTGGATTATAAATCACCCAAGATTTAAGTCATCAATTTTGAATTGCCTCCAACAACGTTCGATCTGTGTTGCACGTACCACACACAGACTGTCAGAGTAAGACTTTGTAAGACATTAGACAAGATACACATTTACCTCCCTGTCAGCAGTTTATCAGAGTGTACACCGCACTGCTGATGATTCTATTATCGGCTAACGAAAGATCTACCATCAAACATGACCTAATTGTTCAAATCTGCAAAGATATCTTCTTAGAAGTCTGAAAAATGTCCCCAAACATATTTTTGTTGTCTTTCCCACAATTGTTTTTTTCATACACGCGATATTCCAGTTTTGATAATTTTCAATAAATATTATGGTTAATAT